GCTGACGAGGATAGTATGACAGTTAAGCTGATTGGAAAGCTGCTTGAGATGAGCTGGTTCTTTATACTGTCTAATACCCGCCACCCCCTTTCCCTCTCTCTCTATTCTTCCTCTGATTTAGAACAAATGTTTCCGTTACTGGCCTGACCGCCATGGCCCTAAGGAGTTTGGGAAGATACTAGTGAAGAATGTGGATGAGCAGCCAGCACAGGACTATATCCTGAGGAAGCTGGAGGTGACCCATCTGGACCGGGTAGGCAAAGCTGTGTGCCCGACGAGAGCTGACCCACTGACCTCAAGTCAGATTATCTAACACCACACGTGTGTACACACACAAAATCCTCCAGCAAATGCTTGTGCTTACAGGAGGATTGAGTACGTGGTACCAAAAAATACAAGAAACAGAGAAATTAGAAAGCAGAAGTGCACACAGCCTTTTAACATTTCTAGTTTTCTTGCTCAGAATCCTGAAATAAAAACCCTTTGATGCAGTTTTGTTCTTTTATACCTGGAAATGTTAAGCAGCAAAATAAGAGTTAAAAACAAAAGGCTGCACTTTATTATTTTTCTTTTACTGCTGACCTGAGCACCTAGCATCTAACAAAGGCTTGTCCCTATTCAGTCTGAAATGGACTGAATAGTGACAAGCTTAAAATGGTGTTTAACTTTAGGATATTGAGTCTTGTTGAAGTGGACAGATGTACTGTTTTATGTATACATGGCTATTCAAAATCCTGTATTCTATTCAAAACAACAAAGGTGTAGCTCACAGTCTGCTTAGCCTCGGCAAAGAACTGTCCCCAGGTAATGTTTATGTAGTTGAATTACATGTAAATGGAAGAAAATCAGCCACTTTATCCCACAACATTTTTTCAGTTTATCAAAGTTACTGTCAATCTCCTGGAAATGGATGCTATATCCTCTGTGGCGATTCTAAGCTTTAGTTCCCAAGTCTAGTATAAGAAATGGGGGACAAAATCCTCATTTCGCACAAAAGCATATTTCAGCATTTACTAAAATGCTGGTTTTAGCAACAAAGCCTATATACAGTATGACACACCTGACCAGAGAGAATACCTCACTACAGCAATTGGCACAGAGCAAAACTGCAAAAACAGGGACTTGTGTACTAACATGACTGGAAAACACGTACTTGAACTGGCTAAATTGAAGTGCTGATGTACCGCATTTACTTTGAATGAATTTAATTTATTTTTTGTGTGGAATGGGGATTGTAGGTTTTGTTCCCTGCTTCTTACACTGTGATCATACCTTTTTTCCTGTGGAGACATTATTATATTTTTAGCCACCTGCAAATCAACAGGATGAATGTTCCAGTAAGTGTTAAAATTAGTACTTGGGGAAAAGCTGACAAATTGAGCTCATTATCGATTTTGCTGTGTTTTCCTTATAGAAGGAACCTCTGAGGTACATCTGGCACTATCAGTACTTGACCTGGCCAGACCATGGGGTGCCCAATGAGCCCGGTGGCGTCCTCTGGTTCCTAGAGGAGGTCAACCGTACCCAAAGCTCCATTCCAGACACTGGGCCCATTGTCGTCCACTGCAGGTACACCCAGAAAGGAAGAACAGAACGCTTAGATGAGAACAAAGGAGACCGAAGAGAGCCATAGGTTAGTTATAGGTGGGCTAGGTTGAGGCTATATTCAAACTGTGCCAGCACAGCTCTTCAGAAGGTATCAACTATGGCAAAAAAATCCCATCTTACAGAATCAAAACCATCTTGACTGGCTAGGTGGTTGAATATGCTAGGAATTTGGCTGTGGTACAGTGGCTCTCAATGTGCATGTACAATGTTCTTCCATAAGGCAACAAGTACAAAATAAGACTGGGAGAACGGGAAAAGAAAAAAATGTGCATTAGGAAATTTTTTAAAAGTACTTGTATATGTGTATATACACAGCTCAGATAGATGTATACAAAGGTTTATTTTCAAGGTATTGCACTGAGGGTTGTCATACAGTCATGGGCTAAGTGTTGATAAGAGTGATGGGAAAGAAACTGTCCTTGTGTCTGGTGGTTTTGGTGTACATTGACCTGTAGTATCATCCAGAGGGGAGGAATTCAAACAGTTTGTGTCCAGGGTCTGCAAAAATCTTCTCTGCCCTCCTTTTGACCCGTGAGGTGTACAGGTTCTCCATTGAGGGCAGGCTGGGACAGATTCTTTCTGCTGGAGTCTGTGTGAACATGAGGTCCAACTGATCAGTGCAGGCCTTCAGGCAGCAGGGTGTCACATTGTCTGGGCCTGGTGCCTTTCTGATTTTTTATTTTATTTTTATTTTTTTTACCTTTCTTTTCACAGATCTTCAGGAGTGGGGGGCTGGGGGAAGTGAGGTGATCAGTGGGGGATTAGCTGCTGAATTCGAAATGAAGCAGGTTGTCTACCAGTTGATGGTCTTCACAGCTGGGCGGTGGGGGTGTTCCTGTAGGTAGTGATGTTTTTTAGGTTTCTCCGCACTGATGAGGGGTCATTGAAAGGTTCTAGAGGTTCTACTCTGGAAACTGTTTTTCAGCTTTTCAGAGTAGAACCTCAACGCTACTCTTTGTCAGTGTGTTCCTGGCCTGCCTGTACAGGATCCTGTCCCCACATCTGTAGGCCTCCTCTTTGGCAGGACAAAGCTGCTTGAGTTTTACTGTGAACCAGGGCTTATTGTTGCTGTATACGCAGAAGGTCTTGGTGAACACACACACACACACACGTCCTCATAAAAGCTGATGTAAGATGTCAGTGTTGGTGAGTTCATCCAGGTGTGTAGGCAGCCTCACGTACACTCCAGTCTGTGCAGTCAAAGCAGGCCTAACTCTTGTCTGCTTGATCCTTCTCTTCACTGTTTTGACCACAGGCTTCACAGCTTTAAGTTTCCTTGTATAGGATGAGATGAACCATACAGTGATCAGAGAGTCCAACGGCTCCTCGGTGGACAGAGCAATAAGTGTCTTTTAATACAGTGTAGTAGTATGTGGCCTTGTTCCTGGTGGGACAGCTGATGTGCTGTCTGCATTTGGGCAGTTCATGTGTGAGATTTGCGCTGTTAAAATCTGCTAGAACAATGAGTGAGGAGTCCGAATGTTTCATTTCCACGCTGGTTATCTGGTCGGCCATACATACACACAGCGTTACTATGATGCTGAAGACGTGAAACATCTGGTGGACATTTATAGCATGATTGTTGGTCATTTGAGAGAAAGCACGGTCTGAATGCTAGAACAAAAACAGAATCCTGTTTCACTTGTCAGGTTAAAACACAAACTGCTATACTGTCTTTGCAAGTTCATGCTGACACACTGTCAGACATTACAGGTTAATTTGTCTGACTTGAGCTTTCCAGTAGAGTTCCCATAAGGCCTAGCCTGTCTGTGGGTCACTGCTTTCTTTTTTCAGTGTCAGCTCAACTTCCCACGAGATGGTCAAGTTGTGGACACTAAGCATGAATGGATGCAATATGACTTCATTTGGCCACTTGGGTGTGCTGTAATTAAGGTTCAAAATTTTACCTTTGTATTGACAGTAGGGCTTCACCAATCTAGCACCAGTATAGCTAATTATACATGATCACTATGAACCAACCAACTTAACAAAAATGTCAGCAAATGGATTTCAGTGGATTTACCTTGAAATTTTTCTCATCACATTAATACAAGCTCAGTCGCCCTCTGTCTTTAAACAGTAACAGCATTTGATGTTACACAGTGACAAATTTCAGGTACTTCACTCCTGTTGCCACATTAGGACCTACAGTTCAGTTTCTTCAATGCTTTGACGTTTTACTCTGTCTCCACAGTGCAGGCATCGGGAGAACAGGCACAATTATTGTCATTGACATTCTCATCGATGTTATAAACCGGCAAGGTATGAGATTCAGATATGTGACACTTGACTTTTTATATTACTTTAAATCCTTGTATTGTGTCTGTTCTGATTTGTGTGTGTGTGTGTGTGTGTGTGTGTGTTAAAGGTCTAGACTGTGACATCGACATCCCTAAGACCATCCAGCGCGTACGGCAGCAAAGGTCAGGCATGGTGCAGACAGAGGCCCAGTATAAGTTCATCTACATGGCTGTGCAGCAGTACATAAACACAGCTCAGATGAGACTAGAGGAGGAACAGGTACGCTGCTGCACTATAAATCAAGATTGCAGAGTGGCTTCATGTGGAGACATTAAAATCCATAACACTTGTTAACAGTAATGAAAGCTTTAAAATATTTATGTGAGACATGTTTGACCTCACAGTCTGAAGGCCAGTACCGTGGGTTGTGCTGCAAAATCTAGAACAGTGAGGCAAACAACAGTATGGAAGTGTCGGAGTACATTTGCAAAGTGCTTTTGTGCTGCTTAATGTGGAGGCCATCTGTTTAAAGATAATTCTGGTCTTAGAAATGGGACAGTGTGAGAGCTTTATAAAATATCTCCTCTAAACTAAATCTGCCTGATTCATGTTGACACTTTGCAGAGGAATAAGATGAAGGAGAGGGAATATTCCAATATCAAATATCCACAGATGACCAACTCAAGGTCCAAAACCAACATGGCATCCTCGCGCTCTTCTGTGTGAGTATAACACATGCTGTGGTGAAGGTGAAGTGGCCGCTGGTATGAGGATTAAAGATGTTTATGCAGAATCATAGCAGAAAATTGTTTAAATGGGGTACAGTACTTGCTGGCCTGATTCTTGTAAATTTAATTAGCAAAGGTCCTAATAAGTTACTTGGTCTGCTGTAGACAGCAGTGTTAGTTGCGACGGTGATCTATGTGCAGTCAGCACTGTGAGCCTGAGGGCCGACATTGTCAGTACTGATGGCTACAAACAGCTAGGAAGCTTGTTGTCTAATGGGCAATGTTGCTTTAAAAAAAAGTTATTTAAACAAATGAATAAATCATTAGTTGACTGACCCATCACTTTCTGCTGCTTATCTGCATCCAGGTTGCATTGGTTATATAACTTATGAATACTGCTGGGACCTAGTGATAAAAGCGATGTAATTCTAAGCCCCGTCATACCTACTGGCTTTGTCATACTTTAAAACTGGAATAAATCTTACATTTAACTTGGTGAACCTGCAGAAACCCATGTTGAATTAGTTCTTTTGCTTTCCCTGACCATTTTCTGTGTTACTATAGGATGACAAATGATGATTCATCGAGTGTGTACGAGAACATAAACTTTAAAAGCCCTCAGACGTCTTTTAGCAGTAACACCAGGCGGTAGAGCCGTTGGGCCCTGCACATCTCTCTCTCTCTCTCTTTGCGTAAGTATTCAATTCACTTCTACACATGAATACCGAAATAAGTATTTTAGTCAGTGTTTTAACTTTAGCCATGACAGTGGGTTTGGTACAGGTAAAAAAAAAAAAAAAGTGTTACTGATATTATATGTTGGATCCCATAAGAGTGAAGTGTTGCATATGTTAGGAAAATAAAGCTACGATTTAGCTCTGTGTGTCAGAGAAAAATAATTTGCCCCTAAAATCAGGACTCATGATGTTGTCGAATCGTTTCCAGTGAGAGTTAAATTAATTTCCTTTATGTAAATAGAAGGGTAATGTTCTCTTTTCAAGGTTGAAATTATAGGGTGGCTGGGAGCAGCCAAGCTTCCATAAAAGAAAGTCTGAGCTTCCCTTAAAGCAACAAAAGATCCAACTTGGGTTCAAATTATAATCAACCTCAATTCTCAGTCGCATTGTGATTAATAGAGCAGACAGGGAAAGCCAGCAGTGTTAAAGCGAATGAGTCATTGCTTTGCTTTGGGGTCATGAGGTGGTGTGAGCAGTGTTTTAATTACTGCTGAATGTTACATGTTGTTTTTCAGAAACAAATGCATCCGGACATTATCAAAACTAAGAAATGCTTACAATAACTCTCAAAACCTAGCACTTACATGTTAGACTTCTCAGTTCCTCAGCATCTTTTTCATGGCTTAAACTGAAAAGAAAAACCTTTTTATATTTAATGAGGTGGACTCTCTGTGCCTAATTTGGATGGGTACTTAGTGTTTTCTCTTTCTTCTTTTAAATGTGTCAAGTAGTGCAGCCCCATGTCTGCCAGAGGAACTAATCCTGGGGAGCAAGAACCTTTTGCAGAACTTGGTTCCTCTACCTGTGTTTTCACCAGAGGAACCAGGGCCTAAATTTAGCTCCAGCACGTAGTTCGACTGCCCAAAAAAGGTGCTAGTCAAGGATAGTCCTTTTTCTGAAGGTCCACGAACCACTGTGGCAAGATGTGCTGAGCATTGCTGACTGGACCCAGCATTCTCACAGCCCTGCTTCTGACCATCGTGCTTTGCCATCAGTGGGCATTTTATTTATTTTTCCAGGGGCTTTGGTTTTGCTGTTTAATTTAAATCAATGCGTTTGAGGGACCTCAGTGAAAGTTCATAGTTCCTGGGAACTAAATTCAAGAAGTCTATATTAGAAGTTGTTTACTTTAAATACTGTCTAATCTTGTACCATTCCTGTTTTGTCATGTTAGTTTTATTTTCAACATCTGATGTGAAGGTATTGTAAAAGTACAGGGTTTTGAATCTCTTAAGTTGTGTGAGTGACTAAAGGCACTTTCAGTCATTGGAAAATAGAAACATCAAACACACAGTCCTACTATATGCGCTCTGCCTCTCCCTGTCTAGATAACCTTGTAGGTGGAGGGCATGCCAAGTAAGCGCTCCCTTTAGCTCTGTATCATGAATTACATCAGATGCTAGTGTCCATGATTCAAAGCGACACTAACCATTAACTCCACTTGTCTGCGTGTCTGTTTGTGTCTACTTCAGTTTCGGCCGAGGTGTCGCTTTGTCAGCGCCTGAAAATCCCTTGGGGGAGGAGGGACTGTCGTGCTCTGACTACACTCCAGATCAGTGGACCATGACTGGGCTAAAAGTGACAAGCTGCCTCCTCTCCCGCTGGCCCTCTCTGTCTGGGATAAAACCTCACCTTCCATGGAGAGAAGGACTGTACAGCGCAGCGCTAGTGCTCAGGGCGTCTGTGCTCCCCCGGCTCTCCCCACTTTGTTCCAGCCGCTCATTTTCTTAACCAGCAAAAGTGCCTTGTGACTCCACAGACCTGCTATTAAATCTCTTCTGTTACTACTTTCCAAACTCTGGAAACTCAAGCTGACATGAGAAACAATCAGTTTTTTTCTTGGGGTGACAGATCTGAACATGGAGCCTGTCCTGGCCTGAAATAAACAGAGCTGTGTAGGACCCCAAAAGAGGTCAAGCTGTTTGTCCAATCATTCGCTCTGTCTCTTTCTCTGTCTTTGCTGGCTGTCATTTGAAGACCTTTTACTGCATTTTGTATCTACAAGGGCAGTTACATAACCTGCTACAAGGCCCTTAGGCACAGCGAGCAGGGGGCAAGTGATTTTAATATTGTGTGTAGAAGTGGACTTATTCTTTTGGAGATTTGATTGATTGTTAGTGTGGTGGTTTAAGAGTTGTATTTTGATGTCCTGTACTGTTACGAATGTAAATCGGCTGTTCTATTGTTGGAGATCACATCGCTTGTGTGTGTCCCCTGAACGTGGCCTGCATTGGTCTCACTTTGAGCCCAGTCTGGGTCATGAAAATTGTTATTGTTTGTCCATCCTTTTTAATCAGTTTCTTTTGATTATTTCCAGGAGTATTTGCTGATTCTGTTGGTATCATGGTATTTATGAAGGAGCTTAATGATGGAAGAGATGTTTAAGCACAGCTGTCTAAGCAACATCCCCAGCACTATGAAATCTTTTTTTTGCAGGAATGTTGTGGAGAGGATTCCTCAATGGGTGGCTGGGGTTGAGCTTGGCTGACCGCCGTCTCTTGGTTTCATTTGACTGGATGTCCTAGTTAATCAGCAGGTCTGATGCGATTCAACATCTGTTGGAGTTCGTCACAAGGAGACACGGGAAAGAGGGTGATTACAGTGGGCCAGATGGTCATCTGTCAGAGATTAAAGAATAGATTTGTCTCCAAAAAATAATTTAGAAGGTGGCTGTAATCCAGGCTTGCTGATAGTGGGTCTAGTAAGCTGGTGTCAGTGATGTGGTAGTGCTGCAGGGAGCCCTCTGCGCTGTCTGCCAGATCATTCACTATTTTCAGCAATAAAATATCCTACCCAAATACAAGAGCAGATATGCTGGTGAAATCTGACCTAGCTTGTTTAAAATGTAATGACTTGATAGTCCTAAAGACCTTAGAAAAACCTATCACTCGCAATAGAACCTTGTCACGATGTGTTTGGTCTGCGCGCGCGCACACACACACACACACACACACACACACTCTCACAGGATGAAATCACTTTTTCTTCAATCATAAATGAAAAAGCTTCTACAGCTGTGACTCTAGAGACGTCATACAAATCTAGCCAAGAGCAATGACAATGTATTAACAGCGTTCAGTTATGGCACTGAAAAACCCTGACAGTGTAGCCAGTGGTTTATCAGACAACCCAGGTCTCATCCATATATATCGGTGAGTTTGTCCACTTGGCCGACAGTTTGAAAACATTTCCTCTTAAAGCTGTTATCATCTATTGTAATGATTGGTTCTTTGTGTGAAAAAGCTATGTATTATGTTTTTAATTGCATTGCTGCCCTGTGTCACTGAAGGCCTACAGTATGTCTGTTAGAAATGCTGCACCACTGGATGTTCTTCAGTTGAATTGGGAATGTTTGAATCCCTCTGATTTATTTTTGTTTTTTCCCCTTGTCCTGTTATCGTCTGAACTGCGAACCTCATCCAATGAATGAGAAATGTCTGTGGTTTTGTTTTTGTTTTTCTGAACCATCTTGTGCTGTGGATGATTTTTTATTTTATTTTTTCTTCTTAAACCTCACTTTGCCTCTTTGGGTCAGATTGTCTATGATATGGTGAAACATCAATACTTGAAAGCGTGACACTGCTGAATCTCTGGTCTCAGGCTGTCTGGATGTCATGGAAGTATTTTTGGTAGCGCACTAAATTTTTGCCACCAGTATTTTATTTTAAGCTTAATTTGTGTCAAATTGTATCTTTCTAAATGACAGTTTTATTCATTCTTGTATTTTGTTATATTACTATGGTGTAATTTCACCATTGATAAGTAAATTCTGGCTTTGAGTTGATCCAGTGTACGTGGAGGCAACAGTATTTTCTTTCTGCTCGTCCTCTTTTACTTGAACATGTCAGTATATGTTATGATGGCTTGTTCCACCGTTGGTTGTGGTATGCCTGAAGTGAGTAGTGGCAAACTGAGTGTCTCCATATTGTCCAGTGGAGGTACGTCCCCTTTCGTCTTCTTTTTGCACTGGCTCTGCCTTTTTTTTGCTGTATACACTCAAACTGCTGATGCAGTGAGCTGCCTGAAATGGCATCAAAGTGGTTTATTACATAGTTTAATAAAAATCTGAGAGCACTGTGTAAAGTTGTACATGAGTTTTGCTTGTTTGTGTTACAGTCTGAAGCAGGTTTTCACACGAAGACCTCTTCCATACTGTGATTGATTTGGAAAAGGTTGTAGAAACTTTATTTAAAAATGAAAGCTAAATCAGTGTAACAAGTTTGTTTTGCCTCCAGGTGTAGTCCCTGTGGCAGAGAAACGGCAGCAAACATAGTGGCAGTTTGCCAAGCAGTGGTCTTTGTACTGGACCCCTCTGTGGCTCTCCTCTGCAGCCGTTTCTTTAGTTGACCAGCGCTCTACCAAGAATCCAAGAATCTCTAGGAAAAACAACTAGACTAGTATTGACACTTCACTTGTGCTTTAACTCATGAGAAGGTAAGGGGAAAATCATGATGGTTTGAAATTTTAAGTTTTCAGCATTTTACCACAAGCTGCTTTAACTGAGTAAAAACTGTAGCTGCTATTCACAAGGAAATTAAATACCCCAGGGCAAAATTTTACTAGCAGCTTTTTAAATAAACATTATTATCTTTTTTTTCCCCCATTACTCATTAAGGGAAATCCATTTTGAAGCCACGACTGAACTTTTTTGTGTTTTTGTTTCAATTTTCAGTTATTGGATAACAAAGTACAAATAGAGATTCAGGAAGTTTGTTTTATTATGGCCACTCCTAAATGAATGTAAATGTAATCTTATCAATCGCATGTCACAGTGGAGCAACTTGGAAAACTCCACACCCAAGTTTCCTTCTCTGATGCATCTAATCCAGGAATAGGTAAAGACGGCTTCCTGTCAAGACCTGGCTTTTTATGGCCAAGAGCTTTCAGTTCAGCTGGGAAGGAAACGTCACTAATGGTCAGTGACTGTTGTGCAATCGACTCAACTAGTGAAACTAAAGCTGCTTTTTTAATACAAGCACATCGGGGTCTGCATATTATTGGAGAGGAATTTACTTCACATGCTTCAGACATGTTAAACCATCAAAGGCTGCTGTAGATTTGGTTTTTAAAATACATGAACATGATGAACCACAATCAAATGTTGTCATGACAGCAGCATATCAGCTGTCCTTGATAATAAAGCTGTCATGAATGGTTTTATTTCCCAGAGACGAGAGCTGAGTTAATGCCTCACTTTTTTAATTAAAACTCTGTAAACAGAATATATCAAAACATACAAATCATATCTATAAAAGTTTTCAGTTGGCACAGAGCAGAGTTCACATTTTGGAAAGAAATAACAGCATTCTAAACATTGTTTGGCTTTGCATTAAACTGAGTTTGTGTAATAGCCAAACAGACTCCAACTGGTGTCTGAATACAACGTCAAACTAAGTGCAAAAAATGACATCTCAAGGTTTTTGTGTCACTGGACAAATTTCAGCTTTGTAGACTTGAAGCTGCTTTGTATTAGATTGTAATTTTTAGAATCCATCTAATTGAAACTGTTGACTTATGACAACACAACCCGAGTCCTGTGAGAACTGATGCAGTTTGTGGTGTTTTCAGCTCTTTCATCTGAGCGTCCCCTGGTGGGTCTGCCACATGACTGGTTTTACCACTAGGGGGCACTAAAGTCAGACTTTAAAAAGCCCGTGGTTCTGTTTAAGGTTTAAAAATCTGAGGTGGTGTTTGCAGCAATAGCCAAATGTACACAAGTGCAACTATACACTAAAAATGTTACTTGTGTCATATATAATATGTACAGTTGAGTCCAATTAGTCAAAAGGTTCAGCCTCTCAAAGGAAGCGTGGTGGTGAATGGGCTAGAAGTAGGGTTGGTGGTGACATGTTGCCGGGTGCAGCGTATGTTCCCAGTGCTGAACACGCACTGCAGTGGCCACAACACAATGACAATAATCAGCACCACGAGCACAATGAAGAGCATCATCCTCTTCCAGTCTGAAATCCGGCCCAGCAGACCAAAAGTCCGGGGCTGCCTCAGGACTGGAGCGACCATGTTCTTGTTGGCCCCAATGTCAATGCAGATGCAGAAGGCACTTGGACTCTCAGGAGCACCCATGTTGGTGCCTTGCCTTGAGCTTTTGTAGCACAGCTTCTGCCCCTCCAGCCACACCGGCTCCTCCTGCTGCTGGTGCCTGGGAAGCTTGCACAGGACCTCGCGGCTGGTGGCCAGTGCCGGGGGTCCCTCTCTGGGTAGTGTGGTGAGGTGGCGGCAGAAGGGACAGGAGACATGTGTGATGTCACCATTGCTGTCATGGTCAGCCACCGAGACCGCCATGAGGCGGGAGAGGCACTCCAGGCAGAAGGTGTGGGTGCACTCCAGCAGTTTGGGTGTTCTGAATACATTGTCAAAGGCGTTGTAGCAAATGGAGCACTCCGGCTGGCTTACGACTGACACTTTCTTTTGTATCTCTCCAGCCATGTCCTGGGGGTCAACCTGCACGTGCCAGATCTGTGGAGTTTCTTCCATCTTCAGAAATATGAGCCTTCCCTCTCCTGTGTCCAGTCTGCTTGGACTCCACTGTCCGTCCTTCCCCCTCTTGGTCTGTTGTCTGGATGACAATGAATGAAAGGTAGAGTTAGATTTAATATTTCACATGGTGCTGTAATCATTGTACAAACCACTTTTTAAAGTCATGTTCAAACATAATCCCTACAGGTTAACAGGATTTTAGTCAATCGGTGCACTTCTTATACAAAATGGTGACCTTTGGCCTATTTCGTCCCTCGGTCAGAACACACAATGTTACAAAGCTCACAGGATTTTGGTCTGTCAATGAGTAATTCAATCAGGGGTGTGACAGAAAATGGGTTGATGTGGATCAATATTGACTTAATGTTGTAGCAACTGTTTTGGTTACTAGAAGTTACATGCGCGCGTATGACTGGAAACGGTTTCCACCCCCAGTGTGAGGCAGCTCTGCAGGTCCAGCACGACTTTTATTGTTTAGTTAGACACGATGTTTTCAAGGGAGCACCTACATAAACACAAGATGATTTCCCAGTCACTCTCAGGTTATGTGGTGTAACTGACTGAGAGACATATATATTCATGTATTGCTGCTCTTTCGGGCTGATCTGACCCTCCAGGAAATGTTTCACAAATGTATAAAATATATAGTTGGTAACAAATGATTAAATTGTTGAAATATGTTCCTTAGTTTGGACTGTTTACTTTGAGACTGTATATGTTTGAAAGTCTTTGACTTGCACTGTTAAGCAGTTAAACACACCCCTGCTCAAACCAAAACACCCCACAGGGCTTTGGGGTAAAACTGAAGGGTCACAGTCAGATACTGTACGCCGGAGTCAAATATTCATTTGTTGCTGAATCCAAAATACTAAGCATCAAACACAGGGAAGTCTCTCCACTGTCTGTGCATTTTGCTTTGAGCTTTAGTTTCTGGCCCCTTGTAGCGTTCTGCGTCTCACCTGTTCCAATGACCCAAATCCCAGCTGGTTGGTCACATGACCTCATTTGTTAAAGTCAGGTTAAAGCAGACTTTTTCTTCACGCTTTGTGATTTTTGTGTGGTGTCTCTTTCAGCCCTGTGCGTGTGCGTGTGTGTGTGTGTGTGTGTGTGTGTGTGTGTGTGT